GAGCGCCCTAGGGGGGCAAGGGACACGTGCGCGGTCACACAGGAAAGGGGCGGAGCCGGCGCCTGGACCGGTAGTGTAGTTTTGCGGTGCACGCTGGGAAAACAAGAAAAATCGGAGAGAGCCCTTTGGCGGAAGTTGACTAGATGGCGGGGAAGGCCCGGGATCGCGGCTGCTTTGTTGTGCTTCTTAGTGCATGTAAGTTTTGCACACCAGTGAGCTTCACGTTGGCATATTTATATGTGCACATGACGTATTTTGATCGGGCCCCTTTCCTTTCCTTTTTTCTAATGGTCTTTTCCTTTCATGTTCTCACCCTTTCCTCCCTCTATGTCTCATCCTTTCCCTCCTCTCCCCAGATTCCTCGGATGAAAGAAAACACCATATTTGACTTTCTGAGTCTGGCTTATTTTACTTAAAAAGATGGTCTCCAGTTCTATCCAGTTTCTTGCACATGATGGGACTTTTTTATGCCAAACAGTATTCCATGGTCTACATCCGACACTCGTGCTGAGGAGAGCGGAGGCTGTTTCCTAGCTCAGCTACTGCTAGCTGGCACACGCTGGTCTCTCTACTGTATGCTGCCTTTACCTCTTTCAGGAAGATACTGAGGAGCAGTAAAGCTGGATCAAATAGTAGTTCTACTCAATGTTTTTGAGGAACCTTCATACTGGTTTCCAACCCCACCAAGAGAGTAGAAGAGCTCCTTTTCCCCAAAATCCTGCCCAGCATTTATTGGTTTTTTGTGTCTTGATGATCAGCCATTTTTACTAGGGTGAGATGGAATCTCTGTGACATTTTGATTTGAATTTTCCTGATAGCTAAAGAGGTTGAACACTTTCTCATATCCTCATTTGCCATTTGTACTTCTTTTAAGAAGTGACTCTTTAATTCATTTGCCCATTTAGTGATTGGTCTGTTTGTTTGGTTGATTGGGTGGTTGGCTTTGGTGTTAAGTTTCTTGAGTTCTTTATACATTCTGGGTATTATTTCTGTGTTTGAGGAATAGCTAGCAAAGATTTTTCTCCCATTCTGTAAGCCACTGTTAGTAACCAACGTTATGAACCAATGTTACAGGCTGTTATTAATCAATGATTTTCCTGGACCTCTACTTCCATTTCTTTTACTCTGCATAACCTGCTATACAGCTTTTTGTGCCAAGACAGAAAAAAAGGCACAAACTGATTTCAAAATTCCACTTATATGGCTGGGCACAGTGGTATCTGCCTGCAATTGCAGCTGCTCAGGAGGCTGGGGCAGGACAACTGCAGGTGGGCAGAAGAATTCCAAGTTCAAGGCCAGCCTGTGCAATGGAGTGAGAGCCTGTCCTAAGATGGAAAATAAGAAGAGCTGGAAGTGTAGCTCAGTGGTGCAGCATCCTGGATTCAATCCCCAGTACCGCAAATAAAATAAAAATCTCATTTTTAAGGAGACTTTGTGGAAGCTCACAGCGTGTGTCCAGCCTGGGGGCACGATGGGAGACTATGTGGGTGACACTCATGTCCCTTAGCACCAGTCAGGCAGGCCCAGGGAAGAACTCTGTCTTCAGGACATGGGCTAAACTGTCTTTTTTCCTGGACAAATGTCTTCTGTAGAGTTTCAGTGGTAGTTTATTGCCTAGAAAAGAGACTTTTGTGTTCTATTGCCAAGATATTAGGACCTCTTTCCAGTTTAAGAGGATGATATTATTTTCTTCTTCAGTGCTGAAAAAAGCATAGTTTACTGTGCTCACATCTTCACAAGAAGCTAGCATCCGAAACAGTGGAGGTTTATAAAATATATGTATCCTCTGGAGATCAAAGAGTAGCTCTTTATAAAAATGGAGCCAGGCATGGTGGCCCATGCCTGGAATCCCAGCATTCTTGAGAGGCTGAAGTGAATTAGGAGTTCAAGCCTAGCCTGGGAAACTTAGCAAGACCTGTCTCAAAATAAAAAATAAAAAAGGTCTGAGGATATAATTCAGTGAGAAGGTATTGGGTTCAATCCCCAGTGCTTGGCACAAAAAGGGCAAAAAAAGGAATACACTATATTCTGGGGCCACATGAATATTAACCCTAAATAATGCATCAGCAAAGATCATAGCCCGCCATTCGGGGATTTCTTTGGATAATTCTAGGACAGGAAATTTTAACAGAGTAATTAATTTCTGAAATCAGCACAAGCCTTTGAGGAAGCGTTAATGACTCAGTGACACACGACCCACATGGTTGTGGGCAGCTGAGCCTGCCTGTTACAGCTCCAGTGTCCTTCGCAGTTTAAACTCCCAAGTCCTCACTCTGTAAGTTCCCTCTCAGGTAATCGTGCCCTGGCAGCTGCTCTGCTCTTAGATCCAGTGGCCAAGCTCAGTTCTGCCCACAGGGATCTGCTGTATTTTTGGAGGCAATGAGGAATTTATAATAAACTAATTGCTGATGTAATTCTAGGTGGTCACTTTTTACTTCTGTTCTTACTAATCCACTAACTTAGAGTGTTTTGACAAAAACTGCCAATGTTTCCCCAACTCTCTTAAATCTCAAATTTCCGTTTTTTTATTTAATAAATTTTATTTTATCCCATTCCCCTCCTCTGTATGTACAAAAGCTGTTTCCATTTTTCCTTCTATTTTCACTTTTTTTCTTGTCCCTTCTTCCTTTCTCCCACCTCCTCCCTTGTTCCCCTTCCCATTTGAACACTTTTTTCCCATTTCCCAACCCCACAATTCTTGAAGTCATATTGACTTGTTTATTTTCACTGTAGTCCAGGGAGAAGCATTCTTTCCAATCAGTGGGCCACACCACTTGGGGCGCTGTTCAGTTCTCCTTTCTTTCTGGGTCACATGTAAGGCTTGTCTTGAGGTCATCATCTATGATAAACCAAAGTGGGCAGCTGACAGAAATGTGAATTCGGACACTGGAGATGCTACAGAGCCTGGAAGAAAGCGTTAGGGACAGTTTCTGCCGGGATCTGGCTCTCCTACACCACCAACACCCCCAAATTCACACACAATGCTCTCTATGCCTCAAAATGGATCTGAGTTTGCACCTCAGGTTCTTCTCAACTCCCAGCTCAGTGATGGCCACAATCCACACTGTCCTCCTCCACCCAGATGCACCACAAATAGCTCCTGTCCCACAAGACTGACCACTTCTCATCCCACGTCATGTGCTCTTGGTTTTTCCTTTTCAGCCATCATGGGAGAGGGCAGGAGAGGACAAAAAGCAAAGAACATGCTCCTAACAGTGTGGCAGACAGACCCAAAGCTGGCTCTTATAAACTGGAAAGAAAATCTGACCAACAAAAGAAAGACTGACAGAAGACTGTGGACAGAAGACTTTCCCACTGACGGTAGAGAGCCTCATGACAACTCATGGAACAGCTCAAAACTTAGGGACATTTCAAAATTACATCCACCAAGCAGCTGCCCCCCTTTTTTGATCAAACATAGCCCTTGAATATAACGAGCAAACAGCAGGTGCTTTAAATTCTGCCCGTAGCTGGCAGGTAACCTCCCCAGCAGTCCACAGATGAAAATGTGGATTTTCTTTTGCAGCAAAGAGCTTAAACATAATCCTATTACTATCCCAGGCACCTATTAAATATGATTGAAACAACGCCCATTGGAAGTCTTAAAATCTTAACCACCAGTTTTACTTCTAAAATAAAGTAAACTGCCAAAAGTTCTGATAAAAGTGACAATTTATATTTTTAAGTAGTACAACTGGAATTTTCCTATAGCTGTAGACAAAGGAATTCTTACCCAGATAAGTAGAAGAGCACCAATAAATTTAAGGTAGCTTATGCAAGTTAGGCACTAATGAATGTCATCTTCTGTTTTGTCATGAAAAAAAGATCTTTCTGCTGCTAAAGGAGACTGATTTAGATTATGAATAGCTGTAGTGATTTGCAAAAATGGCTCCAGAGAGATAGAATGAGACTCCATATACTCATGGCACTTGAGGTTTCTGCCCTTTTTGTTGAAAATTAATTTGTCCTGTGGGTTATTGGATTCTAGCTCAGCCAATGTATATTGCTCAGTCATCACAAATTTACTTAAAATTTAGTGTAGCTGAAGTTCATTCAACAAGACAAAAGTCTACAGTTGAAAGCTTCTAAAAATCTTTTTTAAAAACTGGCTAACAGAGTAATTGAAAGTGCTGGTGTCTAAGTAGATTCACATAATGTTTTGCAGGTATCAATATATACTATATTACTGTGTTAGAAATAGATTTTTCACTGTTTCCCAAGATAAAGCGGATAGGGAGGATTTATCATCTTCTGGAAAGAGGACATGTGGGTTGAAGCTTCCATATTCTGAAAACGTATAAATCCTTAAATTCGGATTAGATTCTGTAATCCATATCACATATTCATTCCCACACCATAACAAATATTTTAAAAGCCAATAGATTGTACACCTCTCATTGCCTCCAAACCCTAACAACATTAAAACTGGAAATATTTTTAAGTACACAGGTCTGGCGTCCCCGTCGGACCCTCTCACACAAGGTGACTCACTTCCTTTTCCGGGTGCTGGATGAAGCCTCCACCAGACACAGAGCCCTCTGGAGACTGCATCCGGGTCAAAGGGCACAGAGCACAGAGGCCGCCTCACCTGGAGACAGCGAAGGAATCCGGCCTTCTTCAAAGAGGCCGTCAGAGAAGAGGTAAGGCGGCATTAAAGCCAAAAGCTAACAGCTAATTGTGGGGCACGGTTGCTTTTCATTCTTTCCTACAGTGATTTTCCTTATGTAACCTGTATGCCTCATTTGTACGCATCTAAATTCACATACTATTCCGTGCATTAAACACAGATAAGGATGTGTCTGCTAGTCGTTTTTCTCTTGAACACAGTGACTCTCAGAACTTATTTAAGAGGCAAAATCGCACCAGAGAACCTCGACTGCGGTGGGCACCGTGGGGAGGCTCCTAATTAAATTAATGATACACAGGCGGCAACAAACACTACGAGTTCATTTCATTTACAGATGAAAGATTACTAGATAATAAGACTGTTTCCTATTTAAATGTTATATTAATTAATTAATCTTAATTACTACAGAGTAATTAAGAGCTAAACCACGATGGTAAAAAGCATTAGGACGTGTGTCATCTCATTAAGAGCAGCTACTACTCGGGCGGCCTAGAGCACGGTTGGGAGTTTCCTGGAGAGCGGCCCTGGCCCGCTCCGGCCGCTGACGAAGGCCAGGCTCCCCTCCGCCGGCCGCTGGAGGTGCAGCTGCAGTGAGACGCCGGTGCGACCCAGATCGTGACACAGCAGACTGGACATTTTAGATTGATAAACCTCTTCCGGGAGAGGAGGAAATAACGTTTACGGTTTTATCTATGCTTATTTGTTTCTCCGAAGATTTATCGTCCTCAAAACAGATATGCATCTTATCCTTCACTTTCCAGATTAAAGAGATGATTTTAAACAGGCCTGTGAATGGCATAATCTGCAATTGCAGATGATCTCCATTTTTTAAGAAATGCTAAAAGTGCACCTGTGAGTCAGATGAGGACTGCGCTCTCTGCGGGGAGCTGGGCGCGCTCTTCCTCCGGGCGCCAGCGACGCCCTTGCCCTGGCCCGCGTCAGCCAGGTGCAACCTGCACACGCTTGACCAGGAGTGAGGGCTCTGCGTGCCGCGGATGCTGCTTTAATTGATTGATGCTAAAAGTTTAGAAAATACAACCGAAGCAGAGATTACAAAGCGCCTTTAAGCAAGCCTTCTCTTTTGAAAGCAGCGTCCTCAATTGAAACTGGCAGACCACATTTTTAGGTTTCAAGCAGCTCTGTCATTCCACAAGGAATGTGTCTGCCACTTCACAGGATAGCTTGAGCTGAGAGACATGTACTTTGAATCAGAGAATCAATAGAACACTTAATGGACAATTAGGAGAACAGCTGTAAGACTGTCAGCGGCCCATCTGTACACAGCTCAGACGGCAGCCTGGACAGGGCCCGGAAACAGAGTACACTGCTCGGGGGCACTGGCCCCGCTACAGAACGCCCTTTCGGTTCTCACTGAATGTTAATATAGTGTTCTTTTTCATTACAAATTTTAACACGTGTAGAAAATTATGGAAATTGCTTAAGCTATTTGTCAACTTATATCACGTGAATTGATCAATAAATTTCACTACTTTGTTGTTAATGTAGATAAATTTTGGCATTTAATTAAGCTCCAGTGAAAATGTGGCCACTTTTAATTTCAGCAGATGCTGTTGTTCCATTTGTAATACATAACTACAGGGGTAAATACAACCCAATCATGAATTACCACTAAATATTTATAGACAACATCACAATTCAGAAAACAGACACAAAAGATTTTTACAGTGAAACAATCACTGTGTGCAAAATCTGAAATAGGTGGTGATGAACGCTAATAGGAGCCGTGAACAGAATCTTAATACTGGAGCTCCACAAAAGAGCTGCGTGTGTGTCCTCTCGTCATTCTGCCCCCACCCGTCTGCCCTTCAGCGGAAATAACATCAGATTCTTCGCACAGGATACTGCCACACATTCAGAGGCGGCTCTTCAAGTTTGTGAAAGTGTATTAAGGTTTCTGAATTAAAATAGAAACCCACCCTTCGTTTCTGCTTGCTAAATTTATCTGGACACAAACTGGCTTTTCTCAGTAGGTGGAGGAAGACCTAGTGACGCTTGCTCTACACAGGTGACCCGGGTTTGGCCGCACGGCTGGTCAGGCAGACGTGGGGTGGGAGACAGAGGAGCGGCAGACAATGGGCAGCAGAAGGGACTTTGTAGGCGGCCTCCGTCTGGCCTGCAGGGCCCCAAGATGAAATCCGGCTCCTGACAGCCAGAAGCCCTATGGCCTTAACCCTTCGCGCCGTAGTCTGACATGATAAACGGCTGTATCTCATTTGAGGGGGACAGGCTGCCTCTCAGTGATTCCGCTGGTGCCTGCAGGGAAAGGGGATGCGGAATCTCACGCTGCCGTTTCCTGCTCTCCCACCATTGTCTGTCTGCTGCCTGGAGGAGAGGTGCTGGCTGGGGTGGGGAAAGCAGGCGTGGGTGCTTATGTGTAAAGAAATAAATTTTAGGGAAATCAAAGCTGGTCCCTCATGCCTGCGTTTCCAGTGTCTCCGTGTCAGACTGGCCATCACTACGCAGGCGGTTTGGCTCTGTCTGCTGTGCTGGCAGAGGAGACCCTGGTCAGAGGTGCTTCTCCCAATTCCCACTCTGAGGGAAATTAGAGTGAAACAGCCAGCGGGAATGGATACAGGCTCCTGGCTGAGTCGAATCACTCGTCTAATTTTCCAGCCAAAATTCTCCTTCTGACTTGCTCTCACATTTTCATATTTCTTTTTAGTCCAAAATTTAATTTTTCTAGGACTTAAGGCCTATTTTTTTTGTATCCCTAAAAGGTAAAAGAGGCAGAAAATCTCACAGATTCTGTTCTCACACAGATAATTAAGCCTTTTTAATCTCTGAAATCAAGGGCTTCATGAAGTCATAATACAAGTATTTTCTGAACCATGGGTGTCTGTGACTTTGTGTTTGGGGAAAACTAGGAAAAAAAGTTATTGAGGAAATAAGGGCATTTCTTGAATATTTTATATGGATATTGAAGAGTTAAAGAAAGCTAACTAAAAGAATAAAAAATGAAAATTAAGATCCTAAGAGATTAAGATTGTGGTGGATTAAAGATAGTCACAAAATTCTTTACTAAATATCCATTGATAAATGGAGTCTCTTTTCCCTTCACCCGGGCTGGCCTTGGGATCTGTTTGGCTCAAGGGGAGCAGAAGGGAGCAGAAGGGAAACTCCAGGTCCCAACCCTAGCTTTTAAGGCCCAAGTGATACCATGTTTGCATTCTTCAGAGCCAATGGCCCTACAATAGGAAAATTCAGGTCAGACTGCCACACCATGAGAGATCACTCAGAGCTTGACCCCGAAATATGGAAGACCATGCTGGAGTTCATGCTCCCGAACTCCCCGCCAACAACACAGCTCCTCCAAGTGAGCAGAACCGCCTCAGCTGAGCTCGACCAAGCCACAGAAGCACAAGGAGTGGCGATGCTTACTGGGTGCAGACGGTAAGTTTGGGGACAATTTGTTACACAGCGACAGGTAAATGAAATCAAGGTTTCAGAATAAAATTGCTAGCTGGCAGGCAACAGCTATTTTCCTGTCCCTCTTGCAGGAGTGATCCAATAGCAAACAAAATGTCACGATCCTAACTAGAGGGAGGAGAAACATCTTTGAACATGCTAGACTAGACAGATTCTCTCTGCTGTCCTTCACCATTTCTCTTGGCTCCATACCCATGTTCTAAATGGACAGCAAAGGAAAGGCAGTTTTGTAACAAAGACTATCCCTTTCGAGGACACTGGTCTTGGAAAGCAACTGATGACAACTTAAAGACCCCAGCAGATGTTCCGCTATTTATATTCAAGTTGCCAAACATTAACTCTTGAGATAAAATGTCTCTCAGCTAACTGTACCAACTAGACAAAAAATTGCAGATTTGTCACAGGTAGTAGCATTCAAACAAGCGATTTTATCTTTTGGGATCTCATGTGTTTCCTCATCTGTAACAAGACACTGCTTGGATTTTAGGACCCATAAAAACTTTGCAGTCTCTCAAAGACATATCATTTTTCAGGTGACCCCAACTCTAATCCCTTGTGAACTAAAAAGTCCTCTATCACTCAAGGCAGAAATGAATATATCCTAAATTTAATATTCTGTCCCTGAATAATTGAGATGGTTGTATAATTAACTCTCTCAGAAAGCATAATCTTAAGTTTTTTATCCCCTTATTCTCTATGAGTAGAGAAGTATGATGACCTCTCTTTACTGTGAGGCCCTAAGTGGATACCCATTCCTTATACAGGGTAGGGAGTCGGTGCATGGTCTGCTTGTGGGACCAGACCTGAGAGGGACTGATATGGCTTTGACATGGAGGGCAAAAGGCCTCAAAACCTACGGGCTCTTAGCTCCTGCAGGAATCTAGAGTTGGAATAAAACAGAAGGAGGTCCCAGACAATTTATTCCAGGTCAGTCAGTGACCAAGTGAAAATTAGAATCCACATTGTAAAATGTGAAAAAGTTTGGTTAGTGAAAAGTTAGGAAAAGTTTGGTTAACGAGAGTAAGCAACATTAGCAAACAAGGAATATATAATCTGTATTTTCAGTCTTCCTTTGGGGAACTCAGGCTTAATTTGCAACACACCAGACAAAGGAATCTTATAAAATCAATGATCTTAAAAGACCAATATCAAAGCCTGCCCAGGGGTCCTGAGCACCTGAGCCACTGCTGCCCCTCAAGCTGAATCAATTCCGGTTCCCTTTGTGTGAACACACTGTTAGGAGGCAGAACCGAGAGCTGGACCTGTCTGTCTCCCCAGTACGCCATCCCCGCCTGATCACCCACTCTGGGGAGCCTGGAACTCAGGGTCCAGACACAGACCAAACACAGATCTGTGCTCCAAAAAAACCTGTGGACCAACCTGTCTCTAATTACTGAGAGTTAAGATGGCTATTAGTAAAGGCAAAACTAGTGAAGACCCAATATGATAAGGCTTAAAAACAGAAAACAGAATTCGGGAAATCTGCCAGAGAGGAGGCTAAGCCTTAATGACAATCCCTGGCATTAATCACCTCTGCCATGTACCTGATGACACATGGGACAGGACACAAATCCATACCCAACCCACACTGGCTGCTACAGATTAGCTCAGTGGTACAGCCTGGCATCAAGCCCCGAAACCCAAGATGAAACTAAAGCCATACTGACTACCATCATCTCTTCTCACTCCCAGGCTTGGGAAGAGGAAGGAAGGCAGGAAATTGGCAGGCGACAGGAAATGGAAAGGGGATTCGTGAGATGCATTCCTACAACACAGCCTGGGTGGAAGCGTGGGTGCCTCACTCCTGGACCGGGGCTGGACGGACCAGACTGTCCAGAGTGCCAAGGTGATTCTAAATCTTCCCGTCGGTGTGCCTGCACTTTCTGATGAGACTAAGGTTCTTCCTACCTGAATGTAAACAATAGCAACAATAACTCTAGTGTTTCTTCGCCTTACATGCTAATATTAAGAATGTCTCTCTGCTTCTGTGGCGGTCAGGTTAACCAGCCAAGGTCCATCTGAGCTGCAGAAGCAGCTGACCTGAATTACAGATGTGGGCCGGTTTGGTTTCCAGAGCCTAGCAGTTAACTCAAAGGGGTCAGAGAGGGCTGAGTGCTAGTTCTCCAGAAGTTGATGTGTACGTGTGCATTAAAAATGTATATTAGAAGTATATTAATACAGTTCTATCTCAACACATTTAATTCTTAAATGCTACATATACTTCTTTAATCTCCCATTTTCAAAGTAGAAAAGGTTAGATTATAACATCAGGTTAGCTCTCTTGAAGCAGGTAATAATTAAGTTGATTCACTGTTGCAATTACTGTCAAATCCCCCTTAATTACCAGAGATTTTATAGCGGCTTCATTACACGTCGGCTATAATGCACTGTGGCCCCGAGGAGAGCGGCTGCAGGAACTCTGCATAGCGTGGATAATTCCAACCTGCGGTTACGGCTTCCAGCGAAGGCGCCCACACTGAATTTATCTTTTTTTGACATTTCTCCCTGTTACTCAAGCAGTTAAACCAAGGTAACACTGCTGAAATACCTACCTAACTTTGAAAGTTAGAATTGATTTCTCCATAGATATTAAAAACAAAACAAAAAAGAGAAGGCTGAATTATTACTGAACAGGCTTAAATTATGTCTAATAATGAATCTGGATTTATCACATTCAAATAGATGTGAGCTCTGCAGTCAGAAATGTATCTTCCATCCCGCTGCTGGTGGGTATTTGGTACAGTGGTAAGGAAAAAAAATTATCACCAAATTCCTGACAGATAACTTTAAGGAGGACAACCATTCCTTTTTATTTATTAATGATTTTCCAACTAATTTCTGGGGAGAGTAATCATTAAAATAAAAGGGTCATTTGAAAGTTTCCCTATCACTGCTTGTTTTCATTGGAAAAATCTTTACAAATCAGATCCTGTAAAACGAGTGAAGTCCCAAACAACCCACAGTGCCTCACAGGCCTCATCTGCACCAGGAATCCGCTGCGCGGGGCACGTTCCCTTCAGAAAGGGCCCAGTGTCCGCGACACCACGGGCAGCTGTGGGCCAGTGAGGGCCTGGCTTTGTACAGCAATACAGTTATTAAATTTCTCCAGAGACGGTGACTCATTAATCAAATATTCATGCATCTCTGTAAATACACACAGAACAGAGAAGAGCCTCGGAGCTGGGCACCCCAGCACAAGTGCTCTTTCATGCGGCACTGACAAAACCCTGAGAGCATGTGCTCATGTTCTGCATTTCTAATGCACTATGTCCTCTCCAATACTCCATTTCCTAAAACAGGGCACAAGCGACCCTACTGACTGCAAGTGTTAGATGGTCACAATTAAAATTACTCCGCTATTGCTTCATACCATCTTTTTTTAAATTAAAGACAGTGAATTGATTCTTCTGTTCTTTGTTTACCATCAAACCAGTAATTTTTTCCCAGGCGGATGAAGAAACCCAGGGCCATGCTCCTATTAATACAAGAATTTGTATTAGCATGAAAACAACAAGTCACTACTCAAGCCAGGGAGACCAAATAACTTAACGTATTAGCAGATATGAACTTG